CTTTCTGACAGAGTTTTTGGATTGGTTTTGGTTTACCAACATTGTCTGACCCCAGCCATCATAGTTTGTAGCATAGCAAATTATACATGTCTGGCCAACTGAGATTTATAGAGTAAATTGTAGTTAAATGAACTATGTTTTGCTTAATTTAATTTTTTAATTTTAGATTTTAACTTTGCCTTTATTATTTTTATAAATAACTGAAGGTGTTGAGCATACCTAATATTCCTTCTTCCTCCTATTTTCCCCACAACAACAACCCTGTTAGGTTGGGCTGAGAGAATGACTGACCCCAAGTCACCCAGCTGGCTTTCAGACCTAAGGTGGAACTAGAATTCACAATCTCCTGGTTTCTAGCCTGACACTTTCATTACTAGAGTAAACTGGCTCTTAAACCATTTATGAACAAAATCTTAATGTTTTTATTTTTTTAATGTTAAGTGAAGGAAGAAAAATGGTTTTTAAAAAGTCTGTTGATTTTTAATTTAAATATATTCTCAGGATCTCATTCTAGCAAGTAATCAAGCAAATACCATAACCTACAATCATCTCAATTCCAATCAGGTGAAGTACACTGTGATATAAGAAGCTGCAAAAATCCATTTTGCTGTTGTACATCAGATCATTAACCTGTGAGCGTTCTATCAACAATTGAATGGGGAGCAAAAGGGTATCAAGATATGCAAAGGAAATCAAAAAGCAAATTTTCAGGAGGGTCTATAAATATTCATCAGTTTTAAAGGCTCAAGGTGTATTTGTCTGACTGGTGTTTTGGACATTGCAGAACTAAATGCTTTGAGACACAAGTCTTTTGCCATTATTCTCATCAGCGACAAGTAGGCTGAATTGTCAGTTCTTAATTAGGCCTATGATTAAAAACTATTAACTTAGGCTATAAAGTATATAATAGGTGGAAAAAGGACAAAGTATGACAGATCAATAAGGAACAGAAATGAGTTATTAAGTTTCACAACAGCATAAAATGTGGCTATTTCCCCTTGCACAGGGGTCAGGATGTTAATGTAGCTCTGATGTGGGTCTAACTGTTTTATTGTGAAATCAGCTGCTATCACTATTTCTTTTTTATGTCACCTTTTTACTGTTATGGATTCTGATTATTTTTGTCTGCCATCAAGAGTGCTTTGATGGATGAGTGACTTCATAAATATGCTAAACAAACAAACGTCAACAATTAACCACATGAGAGTCAAATATAGCTCCAAGTGATCAAAAATCTTATAGGTGTGAACTAACCCTATTTAGGCAGCTCCACTGTGAGAAGAAAAAACTCATAGATAAGTATCCCATTTTACTTACCGGGTTTTTGGAAAAACAAATAACAGGTAAACAAAATAAATGGTAATTGAAAAGAAGCAAGTGACTCTAGGAGATTTCGCTGCCAAGGCCTGGCAATTTGACACCTTCCAAACAGGATTTCAGTGGCCAAACCATAGGCAATATCATTTTCCTGTCTCATGCAAAAAACTGTTACTGATATAATGGAGCTTGCCAATACTATCTTGGCACAAGGACTGTGACATCATATACTTCCTGGGGAATGAATTGATGGACACTTATCTTCTTAAAATGGCAAGTTTGAACACAGGCTGATCATATACTTTTGGAACCAGTAGTAAGATGATTTAAGTGGACTGCTGATTAAAATGTTAAGTGAAAAGGGCCACTATGTTATGAAATCCCAGAAAATCATGTTAAATAAATTGTATTTAAATTAACTATGGATAACTGATAATATGAATACAGTTCAGCTTCATTAATTTTGTCACAATATCTCATCTGAAACTAAAGTAGCCAAGAAAATATGGGGGAGGGGTGTTAGATTAACAAGCAACATCCATGAAAACTTTTGCTTTTGATAATTTAAATAATTTCTTCTTCAACCTGACATTATTATGTAGTTTTCCTGGTAATACCAGAGGTGCAGTTTGCCCTTGCTCTCTTGCAGAATGTTTCTTAGTCTCCCATCCAAGTCTTAAGTAAGCACAATCCTACACAGCAAGTGTTGCTATTAGCTGGCAAAGTTAATTTAACATTTGGATAAAAAGACTTTGCAATTTCATGTCTCTTTCTTTCATCATAGATCATTCAACTTTACCACTACAAATTTGTTTTTGAGATTTTTAGTTACTTGTGTGTGACTCAGATCTGGAACAAAGACCTATAAATAGGCTACAACTGGAATGCAGTAAGCAGACTTTCAGTGTATATACTGCTTTATTACTTTATTTCTGTTTACAGTAAAAAAATGTTGTCTTGCGTCTGTGAATCTTCTGCATGATAATTCTTGAACAAGAAATTAGTCTTTGGAGAGCCAAGATTTTCAGCTGTGCTTATATGAAACTTTTAAAAAGGAAATCTTGTTTTCCTCTGTGTGAGGGCAGAGCATATAATCAAACCATTTACTAATCTGTGGAACCATGCTGTCTTTCATCCAATTTAATTTCTGGGCAATGTTGAAGAGTTTCCAAATAACTTTAGTTCATCATAATTCTTGGTAGAAACTTGAGAAACTTAAGACTGAACAAGTAGGAAAGGCCTGTGCAACACAGCTTTTGGAATTTTTTTGAATCCTTTTTACTGGCAGAAGCAGAAAGTCTGTATTTTCTTCTATATAATAAGGAAAAGCTGGTCACATAGCAAGAAGAACTGATGGCAGGTAGACCAAAGCAATCATAGAACGGATCCCATTTGATAAAAAGCATCCATGAGACAACTAGAAGATGGATCGACGACATCAGCAATTATTGTGGGCCCAATTGGCAAAAGAAAGCTCAGGACCGTATTGATTGGAAACATGCATTTTCATTTTGCGGTGGATAGACAATGGCTAAAATGATGATGAATAAGAAAATGTGTTTGTGTATGTGTGTGGTTGGATTTCTAATCAGAATTGGTGATTGTTTATGCGTGTTTTATGAGTGTATGTAAGTCTAATCAGGATGGGTCCATGTGTTTCATCTGTTTATTCTTTCTTCATCCAGATATGTACTAGGAAGAACAGAGTGATCTGCATGTGCTCCCTTCTGCTGCTCTGGAGGATAAGGGCTGGATGTATTCTGTATCAGTCCCCTGCACTATGATTTTATTTCCTAGAATATTTTTTTTCTAGTCCAAGCTGGATTTGACCATTTTCAAATTATTTCTTTTACCATCTTCTCTTGTCATACCAAATTATTTTCTGTTTCAAAGAGTTATCTTACTCAGAGATAGAATCGTAAGACCTTTTTCATAATTTCTTTATAGTATTCTATTAGGTTGGAAAATATGAAAATCTGATCCCTCGCTTACCCCCATTTTCAACAGCAAAATGCCAAAAGAATCAGATTGTCTGGAGTTTATCTTATTCTGAGTTGTTTCACCACTTTTTTGAAACATACTAATATACTGAAGTTATGAGTCATAACACTTTTGACTAAAAAGAACAAAAATTCACCAAGTTTGTTATCCTAACCTCAAGATTAGGATAGGGGATGGGGGAGGGAGGGAGGAACACAAGCATTTGTTTAAGCAAAGCCCAAAGCAGTTTCTTCAGCCCCACACCTTCTCATTAAAAGCCTTGTCTTTAGATGTGAGATTGATGAAAGATGTAAGCTAATATGGAGGCTAGAAAAAGGCTCATGGTAAGCTTGTCTCTAGTGAAAATAGAGAAAGGCAATGCCTGAAAAGAGGGCTAACGGGACATCAGGTCAATGGAGAAGGAAACTGTCTAAATCTGTACTGGAGAATGAAGCTCATTTCTCTGAAATAAAAGTGAGGGAGGGAATGCTGGAATTGGGATCCAAAAATCTCCAGAAAAAGCAAAGGAGTAATATTAAATTGCTCTTAAGCACATAACTAAAAGATGAAAGTCTGGAAGAAGCAAGTATTATCTAAATAATACTCAATCAGAGGGTCCTGAACAGGGCTCCATCAGAATTTTATGCTATATTTTATGCTATATATTGATTGTTTCTAGCAATTATCTCCAACAGCTAATAATTATGTGTATGAAGTTATACAGCAGTAAGCCACAGGTCCTGTCCATTGTGGATCTGTGTTTGTCTCCACACAACATTTTATGGAAGACAGATATTGAAGATCCTGTTTGCAATTTCTTGTGCTCATTGACTTGGATATTTGACTATCTAAAAATTAATCAAATTTTAAAAAGTTCCTTTTTGAAATTCTTAAACTATATTTTCTGCTTTGGTTTGCAACTCATGAAAAAGGGAGTGCTTTTTTTCTCAGCATGTAGCTTAAAGCTACCCAAACTAGGTAATATTACAGAATTTATGTTTTGTCTTCATTATAATAATCCTCATTATTTTAAGCCTAAGTAAGTGTACACAATTAACATCAATAAGCATTGGTGGTATGGGATCCTTATATGTCCCACATCCTGGGGTCATAAAGGAAGTTGTTACATAAACCCATACCTAAGCAAATAGGTGATGGCAGTTGGAAGTACTACAAAGCCCCTATACCAGAGGTGTCAAACTTGCAACGTCACATGATGTGTTGCGACAATCAACTTTTTTGCCATTGCCGGCAATGAGGTGGGCGCGATTTTGCTATTATACATCCGGCCCGTGGGCCGGCAGTTTCACACCCCTGCCCTATACTATGGCAAAAACATGGAACAGGATCTGTAAAACTCAGGGGACTGGGAGGAGAAAGGTGGAGACTATCTGTTACATTGTGGGCCCATGCTTTTGTTGCTTCCAGAATAGAACGCTGTGAAATAATTTGATAGATGAAGTGTTCTTAACATCTCCATTCTTGTGTTAAGAGGGTTCATTATTCTCTCCCTTTCTTAAATTTTAACATCCATGTTAGAATAGCTGGCTATGGTGGCATAGAAGAACTGTGGCATTTTGATCATTATGCTTCAGTGCTGAAAAATAATGGATTTCATTTGCTTTTCTACTGATTTTTTTCCTATAGAAATGCTAGTGCATTTTAAAGATAAATTCCCTTGCTTTATGAGCATAGAAGCCATTGTTCAGTGCAAATGACAGCAAAGACTTTTATTAATTCTTTGTATATTGGATTTTAACATATCTATCTATGCCTAAGTTATGCCATATAAACATTATCAATTTTAACAACTTTGAACAGGAATAAATAAAGTTAAAATGTGACTCTTATTTTTACAACCTCTTTCCCTTCTATTTAATTTATTTATTTCAATATTTAATGTAAAATGCTGTTCTCCAATCATTATTGATCCATTTGATTTCTAGTTTCCTTGTTTAATTCATCATTAAAACAGTTCTCACATGTCACATTGAGCACTTGGGTGATTTTATTTAGCAGAATGAGGAAGGTTCATCTTTCCTAATCAAAGCTCTATCATTATCATCATCAAGAACTACTGTATGAAAAAGGCTGGAGAATATAGATACTCATATGTTAAAATGGTACTTGCCCAGCATTTCATGTCCATGGATACTTACATGATAAGCTTTTGACATGTTGTTCCCCAAATTAATTCAGCACTGAATTTACTTGCCCTTTATAATTTACTTTTCAAATTCATTTAAGTTATCTCAAATTGGAGAATGCATCAAAAATATGGGGTCCATGATTCCCATGGAATTGAAATTTAGCAACGTTTATAAATATTTTATGACATAAACATTATCATAGTTATGACATAATACAAAAATGTCATAAAATTTCTTTAAACCAAAACATCCATAAAACAAAGTGCCTAATCATAAGTGCCTAATTGTAGAAAGTTGCTGTTGGGTAGCAACATTTCCAAAGAGTTCAATCCATCAGTGATAATAAAAAAATTAGATCAGGCTTTGAAAATGGAGATTAGAAGATACATTTTGAAAGCTAAGATGTTTTATGGTTCTAATGGGTTTAATCTAACTTTATTTCACTATTTCTAGTAGAAGAATTTTGCCATTAGAAATACCTGATCCTGATCATATGGGCAAAACAAAGTTTTTATGCACTAACATGCCATTCCATATCAATCTAATGATTAAATCTTGCAAACACATTACACAGTGCAGAATTCTGATGTGTGCAGAAATGACAAATAATCCTGGCAGATGAAGATTTCCTGTAACAAATCTCTGAATAAGCAGTGAAGAACTTTTCACATATACACTCAAAAGCAAATGTTTGTTTCTGAGCATTCATTAGAATTTATTCTATGATTTGTCTGATTCTTGACTGCACCTCCTAACACAACTATTCTTTTGTGGTGTGTATGTGTGTGTGTGTGTTTGTATGTATATAAACTGTTTTCCTGTGACATACTCTAAATGAAAAGAATAATAGCTTAGCCTTTTGAACAATTATTTTTTTTTGCTGAAAGGGAAATTAATTTCACACTGCCAGTTGATCCCATGAGTAGTCTTTTGACCTATACAGAGAAAATCGTGGTTTGTACATGCCATCTAATGTAAAAACACATTTGATATAGGGACTTCTAGCCTGCTGCACAACCTCCTTGACTGCCATCCTAGAACTAGAGCAATGAGGATAGATAAGCAGTTAATCAAAAGAAGGATGACAAACAGGGTAAGCAGTCAATGGAAGTAGCTATTTCAGTGATATGGGATGGAGAAGGTCCCAGATGGGCTCAAAGAGATGTCTTTTTCACACCAACACTTGTACTCTGTGCTGAAGCCGATAAGCTATGATAACACAGCAGCTTTTAAAACTAAATTATTAATGAAGCAAATTTAGTCTGTTGGGTGTTTTGTTTACTTTCTTGTGCTTTTGACACATATCGCTGAAGCTTTTAAGTGTGGCTACATAAAATGATACCACTGAATTGTCTTCAGCAGGGGTTATTGAGCAAGAACAGACCATTATGTGCAAAATGCAACACCATATTAACTGCCAGCAACAAAACTGCCAGCAACTAACCTTCTTCAGTTAACTGTCTTTGTGATTTGATCTTTATCTTCCCATACTTACTGACATATTCCAGTCATTAATGTTTACCTATCAGTACTTGTCTCTGCCAACCTATTGCTCATAATTCCCAAAGCACCTACACCACCTGCAAATCCATTTTGCCTAGATGAGGTTGTTGGTCTGCGAGAAGGAATTTCAGGCAATTGTTTTTGTATGACACCAAGTGATACTTTGTTAGAGGCTAAGAGTTCTTTCATGGAGAACATTTCACCAGATATTCTGGATCCTTCTGTCTCACTGTCAAGGACACCATCTGACTCAAGTGATAAATTGCGCTGGGTCCACACAGTCTCTGGCCTCACAACATTTTTCTGTGGCCTCAAGAGTCTTCGGCACTTACGACGTGTACTGCCCATTTTCTTTAATATCCAGTTTAAGAATTGTTTTATAATAATGGAGATCACATTAAATAAGGAATAGATAAAACATATCCCCATGAATATAACAACACCATTGCCAAACCGGTAAAAATGTTGATTTTTGTAGTATGGATTCCAACCACTCACCATATCACCAAAACCAATAGTACTGAAGGACACAAAGCAATAATAAAGGGAATCAGAGTAACTCCATCCTTCTGTTGCTGAGAACATAGCAGAGGCACTACAGGAAACAATGACTGATACCAAACACAAGATAAGCATGACATAATACACAGAGGGTTTCCATCCATCTAAGAGGCCTACTTCATCAATCTCAGCCTGCTGGACAACTCCAGGAAGTTTTTGCTTTAGCTTCCTTTTATGGTAAATCTCCATAACATATCCTATGACTGTGATCAGACGCTCCAGGAATAAGTTGAAGAATAAGATGGTTGCTGCACAGCCAATAAGGCCATAAAATATCAGAAAAAGTTTGCCTGGTCTTGTAATTGGTGTGGTTCTGCCAAATCCTGGAAGATAAAAATAGAAAAATGTTATGTAAATAAGATTTCTGAGCAATAAGATGTTGCACATAAGAAGTCAGTGCATTATTAAAGTTGTCTATTGGTGGTAATATTAGAATAGTTATAATATGCATTTATGTAAAAATAGTGCTTCATAAGCATTATTCCTCATAAGCTTCTGATCACTATTAATATACCAATGTGTGCTAGCTTGAGAGAGTGATGGTACTGTCATGGCTCAAATAAGATTGAAGTACGATCCAGCCAGATTGGGTGTCCAAAGGTAATGGCATTCAGAAATGAAGACTGGGGAGAGGAAAATCAGAAAGAGATTTGTAGGAAACATCTATGACATTTAACACCAGTTCCACAGCCAGGAAGTGAGATTTATAGCTGCCAGTCTAAGTGAACACAAATAGATTAGAGGAATGCCAATAAATTATTCTTTGGACCACATTTTTTTGTCTTTTCAAAGGGCAAGTCATAGTAAAATCCTGAGAGAGCACTAGACTGCCTTAAAGATTAACATATACATTATAAATTAGAGCATATGTTTTAAAGGACTATATACCTCCTTTAATTTCATTGCTTATTTGATTTTTAATCCCATTTTTTCCACCATGAGTTCAAGATATGATATACAGCAGTGATGGTGAAACTTTTAGAGACCGAGTGCCTAAACTTCAACCCAAAACCCACTTATGTATTGCTGGGTGCTGGGTGGACATGGCCTGCTGGGTGGGTGTGGCTACAGTGGTCATGGCAGATGGGTGGGTGTGGCCAGGGTGGGCATGCCCAGCTAGATGTTGCTTGTGGGGACAGACGCCTGTGAGGGCCGGGCAGGGTTGGGGGAGATCCAAGAGTCTCTGGCGGGTGGGGCAGTGGGCAGGAGGCTCGTCCTGCGGGGTGAGGCAAGGCAAGAGGAGGCAGGGCGGGAGTGCCATGTCGCAGGGCAAGGCAAGGCAGGGGCCAGGGTGGCCGCTGCCTGACACCATCGTCCCCTGCACACAGAGGCCAGCGACCGCATGGGTGCTGAGATGCATCCGGCCACGTGGGACTTCGGCAAGTTAGCAGGTGGCTGGTTGAAGAGGACGGTTGCCATCTCCGGGGCATGGCGCACGTGCCCTCAGAGAGGGCTCTGAGTGCCGCCTCTGGCAGGCGTGCCACAGGTTCGCCACCACTGATATACAGCATTGTCTCCTCTAATTTTACCTCACAATAATAACTTTGTATAATAGACTGGGTTAAGAGAGAGGGTTGGCCCAAAGTTACTCAAATAACTTCAATAGTTGGGAATGGACTAAAATGTTGTCAGTCCTAGTCTCCTACACCAGGGCTTTTCAACCTTTTCACCCATTGTACCACTTTTAGGATATGGCAATATCCGAATACTACCAGTCGCCTAGCAAGGTGTCAAAAACATAATGACAAAAAAGGAAAAAAAGTGATGAAGTATAGGTAGTCCTCAACTTACAACAGTTTGCTTAGTGACTGTTCGAAGTTATAGTGGCACTGAAAAAAAAACAGCCACAGAGTCAGCCTCTCTATTCTAGGGGCTTTTCAACCTTTTCACCCATTGTGTCACTTTTAGGATATGGCAACATCCAAGTACCACCAGTTGCCTAGCAAACTTGGTGATCCCCCCCCCAAAAAAGGAAAAAAGTGATAAAGTACAGGTAGTCCTCGACTTACAACAGTTCGCTTAGTGACTGTTCGACGTTACAGTGGCACTGAAAAAAGTGCCCCCCCAAGCCACAGCTGAGCAAGACACCTGCCTGCCTGCCTGGCGGCGCTCTTCCTCCTGTCCGAGGTTTCCATTGTTGTGAGCATTTCTGTTGAGGATTGGCAGCGGGGGTAGGGTGGGGGGTGTTTGGTTTTTATTTCCCGTCTGCTGGGTGATTGCAGCAGGTTTTGGTCACTTCACATGACCCTGGGACACTGTGACTGTCATAAATATGAATCAGTTGCCAAGCATCTGAATGTAAATCACAAGACCCTGGAGATGCTGCAACATTCCAGCTGTTTGATACTTCTTCTGGGCTCAGCAGAAGCGCTAGGATCAGTGCCGAGCTCCAGCTGGAGCCTGACATTGATCCTGGTGCTTCCACTGAGCCCTGACAGCCATGCAGCTCCAGCCATCTCTTGCTCAGGCTTGTGTGGTGCTGCCACCGGTTCAGCTCATTCCCCTCCCCCGCTACCACTTTTCTAGGATGGTCGCGTACCACCTGCCAGGTGCCAATGTACCACAGGTGGTACTCGTACCACTGGTTGAAAAGCCTTGTCCTATACTACAGTTTCTAGTGGAGGTAGAAATTATAGATGGACCTCTCATATAGTTTCTAGCGGAGGTATTACAGTCTCTGCTATGAGTCCTGAGAGTGGTGATTCTATGGAAACCTTTTATGGACTTTTTGCTAAAATGAAAAAATATGAAATGGTGATTTTTGTATATTCTAATTTAAAAAGTTTAAATATAGGACAGAAGGAATCTCTGTAATCTAATCTTAATGAGGGTGGAGATATAGTTTGTATACTTCAAAAAAGACTGAAAGCTATTTCTACTTTTTCTCCCTCTTTCTCTAATTGTATTGCTTTTTGTACCTTTTATTTATTTTCTTTTTAACTTTTCTTTTTATGCTTTCATGTTTAACTTTTATCTAGATAAAAACTTTACTAAAAATTATATACAAAAAAGGAAAAATTATGATAATGAATCTACCAATTCTTGATCAACAGTGAGATAGTCTGCATATAAATTTAAAAAATAAATAAAAGGTCTTAGATACTATGGAAATCTATATAAATAAAATGTTCTCATGATAAGAAGGTCTAAAGCATTTTGCTTTTAGAAGGTACAAAATAGTACCTTGAGCTTAGTATTTATTTAAAAAATGTATATGTCATCCAACTCCTTCACTGTGACTCTAGGCAGCTTGTAGGAATAAAACCTCTAATTCAAAATTCAATACACCTCCACTTTCCTGACGATAATATTTAACACCGACTTCTTCAATATAAATCTGTTCAATACTACACAATCCAGTATTTTTTTCCCTGATCCTCCTTTCTTATCCATATTTTTTTCCATTTCCCCCTCATTACACAGTTACAATTTTTGGTGTTGTTAATGTATACAGAGTTAAATATAAACATCTTCAACATATTTTACTAATATCATACAAATAACAGTAATATCAGTTCATAAATCAATAATGGCAATTCATTAATCAATATCCTGTTTTTCGTGCCCTTGTTAAGGTTTAACTTCCCATCAGTATTTGAAATACCTTTATCAGTTATGATTTTCTCAATATTAATTATATTTATGTAGCTAAAAGTTTTATTCATACAATTCTCCTCTTATCTTCATATTTCCCATATCAAAAAGAGAGAAAAAAGGCTATCTTAGTTCTAAATCATAACTTTCATTATAAAAGTCTAATTATATCTAAGGATCATCCGTTCTTTTAATCTTATTCAAACAAGTATTTAAACATATAATGCCCCCTCTAAAAGGTAAAATCTTCTGTTTTTTAAATCTGACTCTATTTTTGTAAAAATTGCTTGGCGTGAGGAAGACAATTTAGGTAAGGTATTTTTTTGGGGGGAATTCCGCCCATTTATATTCCTTAAACCACTCCCAGTTCCTTTCTCCCTCCATTTCTCTTTTCATTCCGTCTCCCAAGTTATGACATTTCCCCAAATAGCGCTATATTCCATTTTTAAAAATTTTCTTCCTTGCCATCAGATATATTTTGCAGACCTAAGAGGTAAAAGGTCTTTTGCATTTTCATTGTTATAGCATTTCCTTTTATCTCTTCCATCTCTAAATCCATTTCCTGTTTTGTCTTCTGATTTCTGGTTTATTTGTTCATATTTTGTAGTCATTATCTGGGAACTTTATAATTGTAGATTTATCTTGAGATTTGCTCGTTTATATTGTCTAAATTGTTTTTAGTCTCATGATTTCTTTTTATGTCCTCTTTGCATTCAACAATTGTTTGGTGAATCAGTTGTAGTATAGAATAGGTGTTTTTTTCCTGAGGCATCATTCCTGGAGATCCTCTAGTACATGGGTCGGCAACTCACGGCTCCGGAGCTACATGCGGCTCTTTCAGCCATCTCCTGTGGCTCCCAGCCACGTGCAGTGCCAAAAAAAAACCAGGACTAAAAAAGTTGAACCAATCAATTCAAACTTCTCACGAAAGAAGTTTGAATTGATTGGTTAAACTTCTTTGGTTTGTGGGACGCTGTTCGCCATGGGCTCGACATAGACGGGAGGGGGGGAGAAAGACAGCTCCGGAGGAAGACAGCCCTTTAGCAAGAAGCCGGCGATCTGAGCGGAGTGGCATGGAAGACCTACTGGTTGGTGTGGGAGGCTCCAGCGTTGCCAGTGAGCAAGGCCTGGCATCTGCAGCCCAGTTCTACACCCCGACGACCAGCTGGACTGGCTTTCACTGCTTCTTTGCAAATGAACGCAAAAGGTTTTGATCGCCGCTTAGTTCGTGCTGCCCAGTGTCTGCTTGCCTGTCTGCCTGCCTGCTTGCAGGCCTCCGTGCTCCTTCCCCGAAGCATGCAATTGCTCAGAGCCTGTCCCAAAAGGTGCTGCTTCCCTGGCAGGAGCCGAGTTTGCAAGCCTCGTTGGCAAGCCGGGAAAACCGAAGGTCCAGAGGATTCCCTCCTGATACGAAGGTGCAGTGTCTGGTCCTGGGCTGACGGGGGAGGGGGTGGGGGGGTATCTGGGAACTAAAAAGTCCTTCCTGCCAGGGAAGCAGTACCTTTTGGGATGGGCTCTGTGTAATTGCATGCTTCGGGGAAGGAGCTTGCCTGGCAGGAGCCGAGTTTGCAAGCCTTGTTGGCAAGCCGGGAAAAGCGAAGGTCCAGAGGATTCCCTCCTGCTTTCGGGGTTTTTCTCGCCTGCCTGCCTGCGTGGAGAACCTGCGCCTCCCCTTCTCCTGCAGCCGGGGAAAGAGGGCCAGCCCCGAGCCTGTCCTGGAGGACTTTTT